TTGAAAAATGTGTAGGAATAGGAGAGGAAAGGAAACAAATGTATTATAAATGGAGGAAATTGCTTAATCGCAAGCACAGAGCCATGTGAAAGCTGAAAGGAGACAGGAGATCAGATATAAACGGAATGTAAGGTGCATGGTGGGAGGTGGGGGATATAGTGAGAGAAATGACACTGGTAGGAGGGGGTGCAGATACTGAGAGTGAACATTAAAGTTTATGCTGAAGTCATGTAGAACTGATGTCAGGTTTTAAGCAGAGAATTTACTGATGAGGTTTATGTTTCAGAAGAATTACTCTGAAGGATGTATAGAAGAACAAAAATAAGAAATTTGAAGTCTTATTCAAAATTTATTTTTCTATTCCAATTTCCTCTAATTACAATGGTAAGCTTTTATTTTCAAAGTTATAGTCTTTATTTCAAATGATTCTGTGAAATGTTTGTAAGAGAAAAGGATCTGAAAGAATACAACTGAACTCAATTCAAGTAACAATGGAACTCTTTATTCCTTATCTACAACATAATACTTCTTGAATCTCCCAGCATTAGAAATACTCATGCTTTCTCAATTATTCATTTCTGATTATGTAAAGAAAATTAACCAAAGTGATTCTGACTGAAGAAAAGAAAGCAAAATTTGGAGCCAGGAATAAATTACTATAAGCACTAAATGCTATAGGTTTAAACAGCCATTTAGAAAACTACCCCATCATAAAAGCAAAGGAAATTTAATCTGTAAAGTTTAAAACTCCATACACTCACTGCGATGATAACTCTTTTTTTCTTAAATATTCTCAAATTATGTGTAGCTCTGAGCTACTTTTGCTTAGAAAAAGAGTTGGAGCAATTTGTTTAATGTATTATGTTTAAGGATTTTTTTTCTTTTCTTATAAATAGATCACATTTTTTTCTAATATCCCAAAATAGTCAAAGGCATTCTTCTGGCACTTTGCAAATTTCAATAAAAATAACATCTTTAGTAAATTTCAAAATATCAAAATTATCATAATTTTGTAGGAAATTTTAGTTGTTTTGTTGTATAGTTTAGAAATATCAAATGCCAACAAGAAAATTTATAGGACAAATAAAGTTAATATGCATAGACAAGAATCACATGTTTTTTATTCTAGTATTCAAATACTGTCTGGTATGAAACTTCTGACGTGAGATATTTATTAAAAAAATCTTAAATGCAAAAAACAAAACAAAACAAAACCCCCACAATACCATACACAACAGTTTTAGATATCCTTATGCTCAACTATTGATATAATTAAGATGTAGCCCCTCCTCTTTCTAAAACAGCTTGATGTTTACCACATTCTCAGCTGCTTAAAGTCTGCTTTCTGTTAAATTTATTAAATTCCCACTGATGCCAGCACTACCAAGGACAGAATTTGGACCGATGAGCTTTGTTGCATTTTGTTTTAATCAGGCTTCCACAAAGGAATATTACACTACCTGTAGTAACAGAGAGATGTTTTTTGGCCTCAAATGCTATGACACCTGAAAGACTCCTACATTTTTCAAACTGGAAGAAATAAACTTCTAAAAGTCAATAAAAGAGCAAGTAACACTTTTAATGGGCATGTTTTATTGAGCTATATAAACTTTTCTTGTTAAATTTCTTTTTAAAAACTCTCTATAGAAAAATCACCAAAAATTTTCAAGTGATAATAATAGGAAACCAAGCTGTATTAAACGTAGGACCAGGTTGTATCAAAGATTAGAGAATTTTATTTCTAGATTCCTTACCCACATCTGTAAGGGTAAAGAGTTACAGAGAGTTAATGCAATTATGTTGCGTTGATAGAATCAATGTAAATACACAGTCTGGGTAACCACACTACAAACTGCTTACTGTATCATTTCTTCAATCACAGGGCTTAAAATTTATGCCCAGCTCTTGTTAAATAAGTACCTCTATTCTCTACCTTGCCTATGCAGACAAAGCCCTAAAAGAGAGCCAGTAATTTACGTAGGCCTCTATAGCCATTTTTTATCCTTCTGATAAATACCTTTGAAGTTATATATTTTTTTAGATCTAATACTACCACTGAGTTATGACTCTTTTTTTAAGATTTAACTGTAGATGGGCAAAAAAGTTATAAAATCAAACTGATGTCATTCTCCTTGTAGGGGACTCAGCTTATGTTTTATAAACTATATGAAGTGTCAAAAACAATAAAATTTTTAGCTTTACGTAATAAGATCTAAACATAGTTAATATTTTATATGTTTATTAAAATCACTGAGATTGTTATTTTGAATTTGGGAAAATATGCATATATTTAGCTATTACTGCAAAGTTGCTTTGTAGAACAAAATGGTGAGGCTATTCATAATCTGAATTTAAACATCTGAAATATAAATATATAAAAGCATACATGTACATATATACTAGGTAATCTAGTAATCCTATGTACTGACACACATTTATCAAATTTAGATAGGACTTAAATGTATAACATTTTTACTCTCAAGATATAAAACACTATTTAATTTTAAATTTTAATTATGCTTTACTTATAAGAAAGGCATAGAACAAAATAAGAAAATAAGGCTTAAAATTATATAAGATCTCCCACACACACTTTTAGCAATTAAAATAGTGATGATCTAGATACAAATAATATTATCAAAATAATACAAAATCTGAATCTCGAAAATAAAAAGTTGCAAGATCTTCACTGAGCTATACAAAATTAAAACACCATAAAGCTTGTCCCTCTGTAGAACAAGGTGATCTCTGAAATTACAAGGCAGTGAATTCAGAATCATAAATAGGAAATATTACTTCATAACCTTTAGTTAACCTGTAGCTACAGTTCCATAGGAGGTCATAAAATCAAATTCTGTGGTTGGATTTAAAAGTTGGATAATTTTATAGCCACTCATAATACCAGGGTTCAAGCTCATTGCCTTCAGCAGCTGGAAGGGAATTCTTTGATCATTCGTATCAATAAACCACAAGGTATGAAGGTACTGTTATTATGTGTTGTTTTTAAGATTACTTTTTAACACTGTTTACCACTTTAGTCGCCTTTCTCACATGTGTAAAGGCCTGAAGGGGCATAGAAGCCACAGGCAGCTGCCCTCATAAGTCAGAATTCATCATTCTCTTACGGAGTCTTCCCATCACGTGCTCAGTAAGCTTACATTTGATAAACACTGGCATCAGATGGATGCTAGTATTCCCATTTCCAGGTTATTTCACCTGAGCGATCTTCTGTTTCCAAGCGGAAGCTTAACTTTTCCAGAATACCCACACTTCTCCCTTACCTGGTGCTTTAGCTTGTAAAGACACTTCTTACTGCTAACATTTGCTCAAAAAATACATTTTACAATGTTCTATTCATACAAATATCTAAATTGCTTTTTAAAATGCACTGTCCTTTCATCATTAAATATGTTTTTAAACTGGTATTTCCTGCCTCTGTGCCTTTGTTCATTCTGCCTCTATCACTAGAATGCCATTCTCTGCCCCTCTCAAGTCAAGGCTTCATTTAGATCCCAGTTTCTCCATGAAGTGACCCTGATCTTCTCAGATGAAAGTGATACTCAAAACTCACTCTCCCCACCCACACTGTATGTCCAAAATATTACAACTGTATTTCTAATATTTATCCATTTCTACCTTATTTTAAATGTACACATAAATCAGTGTGACTTACATCTTGCTTAGCTCTCACAGAATGTAAAAATTTTATAAACAGTTGCTGTACCTAAGTCATCCCTTGTGTGCTTCTCAGCATGTAGTCTAGTATCTTCAAGGTGCCAACTGCTCAGCAAGCACTTGTGGCACAAAAGAATAATTAAATGAATGAGGCTTGTTATTTATTGCATAATAACACATGTGAAAAATCACTGCAACGTACCTGTTACCAATATTTTTATATAATTCTTACCTCTCCTCTTCCAGCTGGCAGTTGTTCTCTTTCTTGGTTACTTTTGAAAATTTGACTCCTTTAAAATAATGATAAGAAAATTAATCTCCATAAAAAATATAGAAATAAATATAATTTGTACATCCAGTATTTATATGAAAAGAAATATGGCAGTAAAAATATATAAATAAAAGAATGCTGAGACTGTCATTATTTTAAACACAGTCTTGTGGTTGTTTCTGGGTAGAGTTGAATAAAGCAGCAAAAATATCATTTTGTTAACCTGATTCTTCCATCTAGTGGCAAAAAGCAGTAAGAAACAATGTCCTAGAAAAATACTGTGAGCAAATGGTTCTAAGTGCCATTTCAGGAATTACTTGATGGTGAGAGTCCAACATCCAAGCTTTAAGTTATGAGTATATAATAATTATAAAAAAATAATTCTAGCAAATTGTCAGGGTTCAGCTGGGATAACTGTCAAATTTACTTATATTCATGAATGTATTTATATGTTTTAACAAAGACTTCTGCAACATATATAAAAGTGTATATAAAAGTATATACCAACTACCCTGCATTAAATTGAAATTGATTTGTTTTTGTATATATAATTATATTTCTGGATCAAATTGCTGGATAACTATTTAGAATTCCATTATTTCATCAGCTATTAGCACAGGGCTACGGTGCTATTGTAAGTTTCAAGAAGTACAATTGAGAGCCACTAAAAGTGACCTGTTCCATTGGAATTACTAGTTAAAATGCTTTTGCAATAATAGGCAGTGAAATACTTTATGACTTGAAGCATGGGGTCAATTGGAGGGGGAAAAGAGGAAAAATTTAAAGGAGATACAATCATCTGTTCAGCATCGTTAGGGCTGCTTCAAAGGCATTAATGAAAAGTAGCATGCAATACACAGCATAATTGTGCATTCTCTGCACTCTCAAAGGCCACCAGCTAATCCCTAATACATGAAGTTTGACTGCCCTTGTAACACTTTCTGTTCACCTCGCTGCAAATATAATTAATGTTCTAGAAGTTAAATATGGGTTACACAGAAATGGCAAAAACATTCTCCAAGACAACAAGCTTTTCCCCCTCCCCTATTCAAGTCAGCCAGCTAACAATGTGTAATGGTAATATAAATGAAAGGTGGTCAATATATTAAACCAAAAATATATTAAGACTACATAAAGGAAAATAAAAGTATTAGTGAATGCCATGATTATTTAAAATTCAAGATTTTGTATTAAAAGAAGACTTTTTGTTTGTTTCCTAATTTTCAAGAACTGAAAAATCCTGCCTTAACACCTTCAACCCCCAAAGCAAATTTGAGTATAGGATTGAGTAAGGATTGGTTGCTGGGTTTTCTCCTCTCCCTAGCCATCCTCCCTGCTCAAATGAAAGCAGGCTAAAGTTTTATGTTCTGCTATATGTGGGAGAGGAGGAGAAATACAGTGATGATACAGAGAAGGTGTGAAGCAAAGAAGATGAGATCATAGGGCAAAGCTATCTGGGAAAACAACAGGCAGAAGGTGGTTTCCGCAGTATTCTTGTGGCCAGTCTCCCTGGATTAGGCCAAGGAAACGGTGCCAATTAACTGGAATATCCCAAAAAGCCACAAGATCTGAAGCCTCACCCCAAATAATTAAATTGACACAAACAATTGTTGCTATATGATATCAGCAAGAGCCAGGATAGGGATGGAATCCGGTGGCCCAGTAGGACTCCTGGCACCTGTGGTGGAACCTAGCCTGGTACTCATCATTTCATTTACTTCACAATCATGTGTTTCCAGATTATAAGCAACTGAAATGTGTGGATCTCTCTTACGGTATTATAATATAATTTTACTAAAACTAGAGATCTTGGTATTTAAAATTTTCTTTCACAATGAACAAATTCAGTTCCTGAGAAGTGAATTTCAGGCAAACTATATACATAGTCATTGGCATTAATATTTTATTCATTATGTTTATCAGTTCTTTGATCTTGGTCAAATTATGTAACTTCTTTGAACCTCAGTTTCCTCATCTATAAAATAGGGATGATGATAACACTCACCTGATAAGGTTTTTATGAGGAACTATGAGAAAATGCTTATAAACTACTTGGCAAGTAGTAGGTGTTCAATAAATATGAAATATTATCATTTATGGGATACTTAGTATATACTAAGAATTTTTTGTACAGTATCCTGCATATAGTGTGGTATATAACATTTGTTTATATGTGCTTGTAAAATAAAATTAACAATGTTCCCTCTGGTGCAACTACTTCCTTATCATTGATTACTTTTGTAAACAGGCATGGAGATTTTTGTAAACAATTTTCAAAGTTGTCTCCAAGTCCTTGAATATCCAATAAACAATTACAATTAAATATATGTTAATATTTTTGTCTTGCTTTTTTTGGAGTTTTTTTAGAAAATCTTAGCTGAAAAGCTCAAGATTAGTACAGGAAATTTAAAAATACATAATTTAAAACAAAAGGGACAGATGAATAATAAAAAGAAAACATCTGTTAAAGAACAAAAAGAAGGTAAAATAATTATTAAAAACTTCTAATCCTGAAGAATTGAAGTACTCATGAATTTCTGAAAGTCTTGCAACCTATGTTTATATGAAGCCATGAGCTCAGAGAAAGAAAAACAGGTCATTTCAAAGCACCCAATCGATTTTTTTGTCCTATGTGAATCTGAGTTGGAGGGAGGCTATAATATGGTAACATTTTTTATAAAAACTTAGAGAACAGAGACATATTTTCATATTTGGATAGAATACATTCAATACTAAATGCTTATTCATGATTTGTAGCTTTATACTATGTACTTAAAGAGGAAGATAGACAGAAGGAACTGTCATAATTTGCAAACAAATACATCTGAGCTATAAAGCCCGCTCACTCTTGTTTACTCTTCTGAAGCCAACCTGAAACTATTAGTTGATCACTTTTAACTTGGAAAATATTTCTGAAGGACTCCCAATATTCCCCCCAAAAAACAAGATAACTTTAAATTATTTTAGGCTTCTAGATAAAAGGTCTTTCTTTCCATGTCACATACTTGCTTTATCTTCCTGAGTCTACATATAGTTTTAAATAAAATCTAAAGTAACAAATATGCTCCAGTTCTGACTCAAACTACTGGACTTTAGTGTAGAATTTTTTTTACAGAACATCAAATCTCTCTGATTTACACATACCAATCTACATGTCCCATGGAATACAAGATTTGATGCTGGACATTATTCAACAGTTCCAACCAATTCTAATTATTGACTTCTGGCATCCAGCTTTCTTTCTCATCTTTTGAAATAAAATTCTTTTAGAATTTTCTACACATGCTCCAGAAAAAGTTTCCTCCAACTTCACAATCACTTAAATGTAATTCTTTCACAATAAAACTTTATCTGAAACTCTAGTAATTAGAAATATTTACTAGTGTAACCAATATGTTCCATTTTCTGTAATACCTATTAGAAATTTTACTGCGCCAATTTTATTGTAAACACATGGTAAAAAAGAAAAAAAAACACTCAAAGTTTTTATAGGACAGGAAGAATTACCACCCTCTCTAACAAATGGTCACATCCCCGCAGAATTGAAAAATGTTAAAAAATTAAATAATTGAGTCAAATACCTGTTTGGTAAAGAGCAGCATGCAGGGACTCAACAGCATGCTGCAATAAGAATTAGGATCAAGACTGCCTTCATTTTAAAAAATTTAAAACAAAAATACATTTTGAACATTATTTATACCTTAATATATCTTATCAAGGTTAAGGCATTAAGTTTCATTATTTACTAGAAAGTTTATGATTGATAATGTTTACTGTCCTTGGTTGTGTTCATTTATTGGTAATGATATCAGATCAGTGTGGCAAATATATGGTCAGAACAAGGTGGCAAGACTAATATCACACAGCTTAACTCTGAGAGGGCCACTATATAGTCAACATAAGCAATGCTTACTTCTCTTAATATTGTTTGTTCTTTTAAAACATTATGAAAGTGTTATTAATGGAGGGAAACTCTCTGTTTATCTTCTCATTATTTGCGTAAGTCTAGGGGAAGTATTTTCAGCAACTCCT